CTTGTGGTGTGACACCTAATAGGTTTGACAATTATGTCCCTTGCATCCCGTTTTTCCGGTTCAAAAAAATCGTATTTAGATTTTAAATTAGCCTCATGCATAAGAAACTCAGAGAGAAGTTCGAGGCGGAACTTTTTTACGGGGTCACTTTCGCGCGAGAAGGCAAAGTCTGCCCACCGGGAGCGTAAGGAATTGGTAAATTTCCCTACGATCTCGTTGGACAATTCAGGGGAGGCTAGATACTCTGGCACGCAGAGGAGACGCACTACCTCAATGCAGTGCCGCACTCTGCATGCGAAAGCATTTATCTCCCGCGCAGTCTCGTTGTGCGAGATCCTTAGTAGTGCGCGTACAGTAGCCAGTTCAGCAATGAATTTGCGTTCCGGCCGAGCAAATTCGACCTCGAGTGCACGCATCACCTCCCCAGGGTCACACGCGGCAGCCAGAAGAACAGCTACAGCATCACGAGCCGGCCCTCTTAGAGCAGCGCTAATCCTGGCTAAGTTTTCGGCCGGCGAGTAGAGATGGAAAAAACGGCTTATTTCTTAAAAGCGTTTAAACGTTGTACTTTTTAAAATAAGCGCGCTTGAAAAAAAGCTTTTTCGTTTAAACGCTTATTGGCTTAAACGTTCAAAAGCATGCGTAAAAAGCGCGACGTTGTGTTGTGTTGTCGTTTAGGTATATCGTTTAAAAAAGCGTGAAAAGTTTAATGTCGTTTATAATGTGTTTAAGTGTTTTATTGCGTTTTTTCTTCTTATTAATGAAATTTTTATAATAAGTTTTTTTAAACCTAATGAATTGATTGGCATTAAAAACGAAAGATTTTGAATTGAATTTAGATTTTATAATAAACATTTTTATAATAGTCAATGAACTTTCCTTCGTACTTTACAAGCTTAGGACTGTCTGGAGTTAATATACTCGACTGCTCGTGATCCAGGCGTACTTAAAAGTTCATTGATTTTATATACATACTTTTAACTATTTTATATGCACATTAAACCAATACACGAAACGCATTAACACAAGCAAGCATGCAAACACACCGTACAACACCCACGCGCTCTTACCCCGTCACAGTGACAAGCGTACTGCTTTTCGACTTCGTTTAATTAAACGCTTTTAACGAAAAAAGCGTTGGCTATCCGACCAAATTTTAAAAAAGTGCATTTTTTTACGTCGCATTATAATAATTCGCATGCTGTATTAACCGGCTCACGAAAGATGGCACGCCGACGCGGCGCTGTAGTCGCGCGTCCTATGTCTGTGATATTGTGAAATATTTAGTTCCAAGGAATTCCGCGTACCCATTTTTCGATACTGTAGTGGACTAGAAGGATCGAAGTATGTAGTTTCCTGGCAAAGACATAGATGGCGGGATTTGCACTTTTTAAGTAAAAAATATACTTGCACTTTTTTAAGTGAAAAGCTTACTCACACTTTTCAAGTGAAAAGCTTATAACGCTTATACTTAAAAGCGTGCTTACAAGCTTAATATTTTAAGCGCGCTTATTTAAGCGCTTTTCGTTTAAACGCCCACCGCTACCGGCGAGTAGGCGGCGCTGGTAGTGACGTAGACTCTCCTGAAAACACTTGTAATTAAATTTTTTTTTCACTGACACAGACATAAGCTATCAAATCAAGTATTCATCTAATGTCACGTCAAAGTTCAGTCAACGACAAACATTATTACCATGCAGTTGCACTAGCTTGGTTTGCCGTCTCCTTCAACACGCCCTCTAAAACAAGGCTAGTTCAGACTTCATTTTCACAAAGGTAGGCTTCGGCAGTCCTTTGGTCATGATGTCTGCGAGTTGGTTCGTTGTTCCAATTCTCTTGACATGTATCTTCCTTCAGACACAAGTTCTCGCACATAGAAATGTCTGATACGAATGTGCTTCGTTCTTTTATGGAACTCGGGATTGTGTGCCAATCGTACAGCTGCTTCGTTATCAACGTGAAGATTTGGCACACTCTTCTTCATCGTTAGTTCTTCGAAGATTCTGATCAGCCAGACAAGTTCTCTAGAACCTTCGCTAGCTGCAACAAGTTCAGCTTCTGTAGTTGACAAGGCTACTGACGCTTGTCGCTTGCTGATCCATGACACTGGTCCTCCAGCATATCTGCATATGACTCCAGTGGTTGATTGTCCGGTAGTCGCATCACCACCGTAGTCGGCGACGCTAAATCCTTCTAGTTCTGGCTGTAGTATGGTCTTTGGTCTATACTGTATCCCTAAGGACGTAGTTCCCTTTAGGTAACGTAGTATACGTTTGACTCTGCACCAGTCACTTCTAGTCGGCTTCTCTAAGTTGCGAGACACTACTCCCACAGCATAGGCGATGTCAGGACGGGTTGCGACCATAAGGTATGCTAATGCACCAACGGCTTCGCGATAGGGAAAGTTAATCTCCTCTTTATCTCCTTTCTCTTTATCTAATTGTGTTGCATCTTCACCAGCGGAGTGAATATCCCGGTCAAGATAAGAGTATCTGTCTTCCTGCAGTTGTGGTGCACATCCTTGATTCTGCACATCAGTTTCTGATTGCTTATTTTGATGGCTTGGGTTCGAGATTGGATCTTGATGAACATCTTTGCGCTCTTCATTAAAGGTTACTTTCAACTCGAATTCGTTGAACGGTGTTTCCTTTTTCGTTGTCGTAGGTACAACTTGGTCGCATTGAGTTCGGTCAAGCGGTTTCTCGTCCTAGATTACGTCTCGCGATCTCATCAATTTGTTGTCGTCCCACCAAATACGATAGCCATCATCTAATCGTATCCGACTAGTCTTCCTTTGAGGGCTTTAGGGGAAGCTTCTTTCGTTTCTGCTTGGGGACATGGACGTAGGCTGTGCAGCCCAAGATGCGTAAATGTGCTATCTTCGGTTTCTTTCCATGCCATAGTTCATAGGGTGCTTTGTTCTCCACTCGAGATGGTCCAGTTCGGTTGAGAACGTAGGCAGCCGCATTGACTAACTCAGCCCATAGTTTCTGCTCGAAAGCTCCGCTTTGCATGACAGTCCTGGCGGCCTCAACCAGGGTCCTGTTGTCTCTCTTGGCGCATCCATTTTGTTCTGGGGTGTATGGCATTGTTAAGCGTTGTTTCATTCCATGAGTGGCAAGGACCTCGCGCACATCTTGATTATCAAATTCGCCGCCATTATCGCTCAGAAGCGTTTCGATCGGACGTCCAGAGTTTCGTGCTTCGGCGATGAAATCTTTCAACTTTTGTTCTTCCGATTTGGCTTTCAGGAAGTACACATATCGATAGCCAGTGAAGTCATCCTTAAACAGCACGAAGTATCGCAAGTTTGTGAATGAATTGGGGAACGGTCCACATACGTCGCTGTGTACGAGCTCTCCTGGTCTTGAGGCTCGAGGTCGCGTGCCAAACTTCAGACGATGGGATTTGCCCAGTATGCAGCTTTCACATACCGTTTCATCTTGAGGAAGATTTATTCCCAACTCCTGTTTCACAAATTGTCGAACATGACGTTTGTTTTGGTGAACAAAACGTTCATGACACAGTTGAGTCCGTGTAAGGGTAAGATATACTTCCAAATTTCTTTTGGGTATCACACTTTCTACGTTCAGCTTGTATAAGCCACCGCTGATGCTGCGTACACCTATCAGCTTCACTATACCACGCATCGACATGGAGCAGCGCGTTGGTGTCGACTCGAACTTCGTTGTTGAGTTGCAGTCATGAGCAGCGAGGACAGAGAAGAGGTTCTTTGTGATCTGTGGCACGTACCACACGTCCGACAGGGTGAGTTCGTAGACTTTTCCTCGTACCTTCGATTTGAGGCTGATGTTTCCTTTGCCTTTGGCTTGCAGTGCATTTCCATTAGCTGTGGAGATCATGTGCGTCTCGTCGAATGGTTGGAAGGTCTGGAATAGATCGCTGCGATTGGTAACGTGGCAGGTCGCACCGTTATCAACAAACCAGTTCACTGTATCTGGTGTATTCACAAATACTTCACCATGTTCTGATGTCAGGACTTCCGTAACTTGAGACTCTTGCTTGCGGAACGACGAAGAGGAAGGTGGGTTACTGCTTTTCGGAGATTTTCCATCCTGAATCCATTTAGGACAGGCCTTGACGCAATGGCCTTTGGTCGAGCAATAATTGCACCATTTGCGGTTATTTCGCTTCTTGTTTGTCCCACTATCTGTGTTCATCGCTGGTAAAGCTTCTTGCTCCGGTGGCTCGGTGGACACCATCAAGTTCCTTTCAAAAACACACAGGCGATTGGTTAAGTTTTCCACGGTTCGTTCGGACGTCGGGCTCATTAGCCATCCACTTTTGAATGAGTTGTATTCTTCTCCTAAAGTGTCGAGTGTTTTGCATATGAGAAGTAGATCTGGTAACTTCTTGCCATCACCCAGCTCTTTGTTGAGAGAAGTCCATATATTTATGATTTTATTTATTTTTTAAGCATTTAACTGCTAGATGTTTAAATCTAAAGAAAAGTTTACTAGAAATCCGCGTAGATTTTTTTCTAGTAAACTTTTTCTTTAGATTTAAGTCCATATATTCTTCAGCTTTGATAGATGAGTAGCTGCGTCATCAGCTTTATCTCTTTTCATACCGAAGAAATTCATACAAAGTTGAAAGGTTCGATCCTCGTTTGTTCCGTCAAACATCCTGTGTAACTCAAGCCAAATATTTTGTGCGGTTGTGTATCTCATAACCTTTCTGAGCATTTCTTCCGTCATATAATTGGTGATAACGAAAAGAGCACTTGAGTAGGCTTTAGAAAAATCCGTAGCTTCGGACCCGGTAGCTTCACTTTCATTTTTGTCAACCGATGACGTGAGTCTGCCTTCTAATACATCTAGGGCATGTGGGATGCCTTTCAGAATGATCAGCATCTTATATTTCCAGGTGTCCCAGTTCGTTTTTCCTACAAGAGGAGCGATCTTGTAATTGAAAGTTAGAGTTTCCATATTTTAATAAAATTACAGATGACCCATAACCACTTGTAATTAAATTTTTTTTCACTGACACAGACAGAAGCTATCAAATCAAGTATTCATCTAATGTCACGTCAAAGTTCAGTCAACGACAAACATTATTACCATGCAGTTGCACTAGCTTGATTTGTCGTCTCCTTCAACAAAAACAAGCCATTCGGTTGGTTTGCCGTCAAAAAAGGGAAGGCTAACGAAACCTGACTTCGGTAGTGTAGCAGTAGCAGCCGCAATTTTGGCGACTTCTTCGGCTAGCCGTAACGTGTCAATTTCTTTAGACGTCGTCCCAACGTGTGGCGCATACGCGGTGGTAAAGGGTGTACCACCTTGTGGCGCAAATGCATTTAAAGGCGCTCTGAAATTATTATTACAATTAGTGGGGAAAGTATTAGAGGTACAGGGTTGCAACTGTGGGTTAAGAGGGTTGTGGTGACGGTCACGTATTTGGGTAGTGTCCTCACGCCCCATAGCGGACGAGGTTACGTCTAGTGGCACCCCTACAGTCGTCACGACTTCAGGTGCTAAGTAGGGCACAGTCGCTGGGACTTTAGGGTGCGACGTTTCCATACACGTCTGGGGTGGAATAGAGTTAATCGTAGACTCGTTACCATCTCCACGGTTTAGCCACTCCTGGACTACTTTCGATCTGCGGCTTGAATGTCGACTGCTGCCCTTACTTCCAGTAGAAGCTTCGAGGGAAGCATTATGAGCACGGTGCTCAGCTTCGGCTACGGCACGCTCCGCGGCCAGGGCGCGCTCACGCTCGGCGCGCTCTAGGTCTGCAATGCGCCGCAAATGTTGCGCCTCTGCTTCAAGCACTCGTACTTGTACTGTAGCCGATGAACGCGACGACGATGCCACAGAATTGTCACTTTTATTAGATTTATTTGCCTTAGCGGCGGCATGGCTTCTGGTAAGCATATTATATTTACTTAAACACTTTGACACCAAAAAATATAAGGAAAACTATTAAAATGCGGTTTTTTCTTAATTGACGTTTAATTACGTATACAATTGTAAGTGACAATAAAAGTCAAAAAAAATACCCAAAAACATTCAAAATAAATGGTATAAAAACTGCCAGTTTCGGCAACAGGGGGATTGGGCCATGCCTAGACCTACGCGGGCCCAGTCCGGATCTATGGGTGGTATTTCTTTTTATTATAAGGTTGTGGCACCAACGAACAACAGGAGCGTTCGATGATTTTTTCTGTAATCAATGAAAGTAGGAAGTATGTGAATCCATAGCGTCATGGTCTAGTGGTAAGCTCGTGCTCATATTAGAACGCTGAGTGTACGGATTTCAAATCTGAGAACATCGAGCTTTCAATTTTGCTTAGCGAGATTATTAAGGTGTTTCGAAGTTGTCAAGTCATAACACTTTCAATTATCTTTCGACTGAGTTTCATGAGAGTTTGATTTGTCGAGTTCGAACCATCATTTCTGTCATCATATTTTGCTATATTCAAAGAGCAAGGACCAGTTTTTTAAATATTGAATAATACTAGCTGACCCAGCGAACTTCGTAGCGACATAAAAATAGGGGCTGGTGGTAGAAGGGTAAAAATTAGGGTTGTATATATTTTTTTATGAAGAACCATAAAAGAATACAAAATGAAAATTTTGTCCAAAAAAAGGGAAATGTTAGGGGTGGACAACCCTTATCACTAAGGGGTATGAAAAATTTATTGTAGCCGATTCTCAATCTTACTGAGTATGCATATAAAGTTTAATGAAAATCTTTCATGCCGTTTCGGAGGAGTATGGTAACTAACATAGATTCAGAAATCAGAAATCAATATATCTTTATTCAAATTGGATGTATAGTACAACACTTTTGAATCGTCCAAACATTTTTTTTCCCTACCACTCGTTATTGGACATATTTTTTAGCTGCGGAGAAAAACGAGCGAAAAAAACTCCACAACATTAAAAGCATAATGTAACAACATTTACAAATCATTATGTTGTTACAACGTCAATACAATCATGATTTATTTAATATAGAAAACCTGTTGGAATGATTGGAACAGTTCAAACCCAAGCATTTTTGTCTGTAATATAATCAGACACTTTGTAATAAGCTTTTTTAATAAGTGTTTTTTTTATACTATCTTTGAATTTATTTATGCTTAACTCTTGGATATTGCTTGGGACTTTATTGTATAAGCGAACACAAAGACCTTTAAATGAATTATTGATTTTGTGAAGCCTAGTAGCAGGTAAAGTTAGTTTATTTTTGTTTCTTGTATTAAGTGTGTGAACATCACTGTTTTTAAGAAACAAATTTTTAAATACATCTTTGAAGTCAACATGTTTAAAATGAAAATGACTAGTACAAGGTTTCACGTTTTCTCTTAAGATTGATTCGGCAGCAATGGGGGAAGAGTTCAAAGATTTAGTAGTTGAAACTGGAATATCAGTAAAGAAATTTTCGAAAGCTGTAGCAACTTCAATATCTGAAGTAACCCTTTTATTATCAATATTTAAGTTATAATTATTATTGCGAGTTTTGGATTTTCCAGTTTCATCGTTTATAATATTCCATGTCGTTTTAATTTTGTCATTACTGTTCTTAATCTTTGAACTTAAGTAATTTGATTTTGCTAAGCGGCATACTTTTTTAAACAATTTAGAATAGTTACGAACATGCTCTTTAAATTTTTCACTAGTGTTACAGTTTCTTTCATTATAAAGTTCATAAAGTGTCCTTCTACTTTTATGAATTCCAGGCGTAGCCCACTAAGTAAAAGTTACCGCATCATTAACACAGATTTTTTTGGGTACAAAAACATTATTAAATTCAGTGCAGTATATATTAAAAAAATCATTATATAAATCATTTGGACTGTCTTTATAATTTAGATTACACATTTTTCTATCTAATTGAGTTTTAAGTTTTAATTTGATTGTTACATGAGATTTTATATATTAGACTAGCTTACCCAGCGAACTTCGTACCGTCATAAAAATAGGGAGAGGTGGTAGAAGAGAAAATTTAGGGGTATGTATTTTTTAATGCCACATTATAAAAAAATAAACAATGTTCTAAAAAAAAATTTAGGGATGTGTAACGTAGTGTTCTATGAATTTCCTGGGATAACATTCCTCCTAACCCATATGAGAACACTACGTTACAATACCCAATAGTTCGAATTTGGGCGCGAAGGCACATTGTAGGTTTCAGAACACTACGTTACAGGTGGACAACCATTATCACTTAAGGATATGAAAAATAGATAGTAGCCGATTCTCAGACCCACGGAATATGCATATAAAATTTCATAAAAATCGGTCATGCCGTTTCGGAGGAGTATGGTAACTAACATTGTGATACGACAATTTTATATATAAGATATATGTATATATAAAATCTCATTGACGACCTCCGTGGCCGAGTGGTTTATAGAGGTCCCAGGTTCGAATCCCGGTGGGGGCAAATGTTTGTGTGATGAATACGAGCATTTGTACTCCAGTCATGGATGATAAATATGTATTTTTATATAAATATACTCATATATGTACAATATATGTATTCTATTCGTTACCCTAATATCCCATAACACAAGCCATACAGTGCTTACTTTGGAGCTAGGCTAATTGGTGTGAGTGTTGGTGTTATTTATTCATTTATTATATTGAGTAAACATTTAGTTTAAAAATTGTTTTCGTGTTTGGCCGTTGCTATTTTAAATTCTGCCGTGTCGACCGTTTCAATTTAGGATTAGATCGTTTGCCCCCTATATATTAAGTAAGGCTTTGCTGGTTTTATGTAGATATTTGGGAAAAGTTAAAATGTATTTTTAACCAGCAGTTTAGCAGCAACTATACTTCATTCCAGATAACATTAAATAAAATTGTTTGTCTGTTAAGGGCTTCCTTCAATCATTCATTCTGTTTTAGGTATTAGGTTCGCGTTCATTGTGTTGTTAAAAAGTGTAAAAGTTTGATTTGATAGAAACGTTTGTAACAGTGTGTGAACTCCTGAAGCTATATGTTTAGAGTATTCAATTATATGTTATTATGGAAATTCTATTCAAGAAAAAAAATTACATACAAAAGTATAGAAAAGAATGGGAATCACTCGACGAATTCCAAACCTGGCTTAAACCTTTAGCAGGTGTTGATGCGAAGGCGTTTTGTTCATTTTGTAAAGCAGAATTATTAGCAAGAGTAGTAAATTTGAGAAGACATGCTGAAACAAAAAAGTACAAACCAATAATGTAAATTCTATCCGGCAATCAAGAGATATCATTTAAAAAACACAAAATACTCTTTCAAAAATCCACTACAGCCGCAACCAAACATCAGCTTCATTGACAAAAGACATCGGCTTCATTGACAGAAGCGTCGGCGTCTATGAACGACGATGAAGTTATAGAAGATGTAACATTTAACAATATTGAATTTTAAATTTCACATTTTGTTTATGATTTATTTCTTGATTATAAATAATGAATGTAAATACATATAAACCTGGTTTTATTTCATTCTCTAGTACTACTAAGGTAACGCTCGGAAAAGTTTTAAGTAAGTAAAAACAATATTGCCATTTTTTTTAAATAACAAAATTTTACTAATTTAGATTTAATTTAGAATTTAGCGGGATACAGTTATTTATGTAGCATCTCATACGTATTCACTGGTTTTTTATTTAAATTAGGGTTTTTTGTTATCAGTGATGTAATTGTAATTTAGCGGATTTTGGTGTATTTTATTAAATCCAAATTTTTGAAATCTGGCGATATTTTACCTTTGACTTGGCGCCTTAAAAAAAGCCAAGGTGGCAAAACTGTGAATATTGCCCATATTGCAAAGTCCAAGATCTTTTAAATATCAAATTTATTTATGAACCTGGCCTTGACTGTACAGTGAAAATTTTATGTGCAAGTACAGGCATGTATGTACCAAGGCAGGTATGTCCAAGAGAGTAGTGAATAAAGAATACGCTTTGGAAGAACTAGGTCTTGGTTAAATATTTACAGCAGGTTAATGTATTCACTTTCTTTTAGGTTTTTATTAGAAATTACTACGTATTCAGTCTTTGTATCCATTTATCTAAAATTATTTTGAAGACACATTAAAAGTAATTTACATAATCTATGAAAAAAAATATGAATGACAAAACGATATTTTTTAAACATTGAATAAATATAGATTTATTGTAAGAGATTATTATTAAAAATATATCGACGCTTGAAAGGAAATATTGACTAAGCGACATTAAGCTAACTTTACAGGAGAGCAGTTTAAAGTTTGGATTTTCAGAAATAATCGTATAACTTTTTGCAATCATCCCACGGGCGCAATTCTGACTGTTTCGGATATCTTATTTTATGGTCTACATTGAAGCTTAAACAACAATTCAAGAACGTTATTGGTTCAAAAGTTAAGTGTCGCTTAGAAAATTTTACCTTAAAATAGTGACGGGAAAAATGTACTAACCGACAAGTTTTGATCTAGAAATGTAAAGTCAAAATGTAATATAAAGGAGCTTTAAAGAATGATATCAGAGCAAAAGTTACCTAACCAAAATCACAAGTGGTTTCAGATGGAGTCAAAATTGTCTAAATTATTTTTTAATTATTGTTCTTTCTCAGCAAATTTTACTTAGTAATACTCGTCATCGAAATTAGGATCATTAAATGTTAACAGAAATATAAAGAAAAATGCAGTTAAAAATAGTATTGAGCTATATTTAGTAGGAATATTTCTTGAAGTAGTTCTAAATAAAATATAAATCAACTTTAAGAGGTACAGTCCCTATTAATTACTAACATTATACTTTAGGACTTTACTTAATAAGAACAATAAAGTTTTATACCCACTTAAAATAGTATGTAAAATATGTAAAAAATTAAGCCTGTGAGCTGTAATACAAAAAATAATTCTAAGAAGACTTATATAAAACATAATTAGGGAGAACATTTTCAAAATACCCAGCTAATCAGTCAAAAATTCGTAATCTTCTGATTCGAGTAAAGAATCTTTAACATTATTTGCCTTTGGTATAATTGAGTACTCTTGATGGAATTGAGCGGGTATTACTTGATCTTTGCAAAGTTTCCTAAGATCGTCGTATTTAGCATTTGATATCCACAACTGTGATCGCCAGCAAGACATTATTGGAACCTTGGTTTTGGATTGAACTTTAACGTCAAAAGAGTTTGCAGAAATATTCATTGATTATTTTATGGAAATTGTCAAGGGTCTATTTTTTTTTAATGTCACGATACGAACTTTAGTCATTTTACCAGATATAGATTTATCAGTCGAAAATTTATTGAAGCTTTCTTCTTTTTCAGTTTCATAATCTTCCTTTTCTTCTTCTTTCTTTGAATTATTAATATCTGCCTGTTGCAGTTGTAGCACTTATCTTTCTTCAGTAAATATTTTTCTAAAAATCCTTTCACTTACTAAATCTATGCCAGCATTCACAAAGCGTTTTCTATAATTGCTGTATAAGCTGGAAACATTTTTGTATTCTTGAGGTAAGTAAACTCTGTTGGCGACAGTACTGTGACTGCTGGTAGACATTTTATAAAATTAACGACAGTCTCTTTAGTAGGTTTAGTTTTGTTAGGTAGTTCACACTTTCTGCGCAAGTCGTCTCTAGAACTTCCACAATTAGCATTTCTAACAGTATAATATATACATTTTTCAATAAATCTAACGTTGCTGCCAAAAACTGTAAGCATAGAACTCTTTTTCCCTTCTCCTTCAGTAATATAATACCTAAATGTATTAGAACGCTTCTCTGAATCAAAACGATTATGTTAAACGGGTTCTCTAATAGTCATGCCAACCAACCTTTTTTGTCATATTATTGAATTTCTCACCACTTTTATTTTTGTTCAACAGTTTTCGTTTATTTTTTGAGTTTATTTTGTGTTTTCTTCTTATTTGTCTGGCTTTTTTCTTTACTACTATCTAACACTTACGATCCTGCTCATTCATCGGAATCAGTTACAGTAGACCCAAATACGGTGGAGAAATCTTCATCAGACATGTAGTCCATGTATCGGGTACTTGTTTTGACATTACATATACCTGGAACAGCACCATCAGAGGTTAGTTCTTTGTACATGAGATTATTTCGTCGTGTTGTGAATCATTTGCGGCAGCGTCATCTATCGAAGGTTAGTATGGTGGGAATGTCTCGTCATTCTTGGAGGGCTCAAGATCTGTGGTGGTATCATTCATCGAAGGTGAGGTGATGGGGCAGTTTCGTCATTCTGCGAGGGGTCAGGGTCTGCAGCGGCATCATTTATCGACGGTAAGTATGGTGTGTCAGTTTCTTTATTTTCCGAGGGCTTAGGTTCAGGGGCGGCATCATTCATCAAATGTAAGTTTGTTAGGGTAATGTTATTCTGCGAAGGGTCAGAATCTGCAACGGAATCATATGTCGACAAGAAAGTGCCCCACCATACGTGTTTCTTCTTAATTTTATGAAGGTTCAGGTTCTGAGGCGGAATTATCTATCGAAGGTAAGTGTGGTGGGGCAGTTTCTTCATTCTGTGCGAGGGCAGGTTCTGCGGCGACATCATCTATCGACAGTAAGTATGGTGGGGCAGTTTCTTCTTTCAGCGAGGGGTTAGGTTCTGTGACGGCGTCATCTATCGGCGGTAAGCATGGTGGGGCAGTTTCTTCATTCTGCGAGGGGTCAGGATCTGCAGCGGCTTTATTCATCAAAAATGATTTTTAGTGGGTCAGATTCGTGCATAGCGTCAGGATCTGTGGCGACATCAGCTAATGAAGGTAAGTTTGTTGGGGCAATTTCGTTTTTCTGCGGGGGGATTAAATAAATCGTCGAAGAACCTGCACCATCATAAGAATCAAACTTTGTCTGATCAAAAACTTCCCCATGGTTATAGTTCTCTGCATCCTCGGTAATACGTCGTGACGCTCGGTCAGTACAACTGAAGTGCAGTTGGATAGTATTTTATTACATACTTTTAATTATGATTTATTTTAACTGTTTTCCTTTGATTCCAATGCCTTAGATTTAGCTGGATGTTCTTACGGGTTTTCGAGCAAACTTTTCTAGACTTTTTAGAGGCCAATAGCTCTTCATTACCGTTAATTCCCGAGCATTGGAGAGCTTGTTCCAAAATATAACATAAATTTTTTCTTCGTTTTATTGCATTGATCTGAAACACACAATCCTTTATTCTAAAAGGAACAACAATTAAAACTATTCAAATAAAAGTTCGTGCGGTAAACTTACAGTTTCCGTATGCTTTGCTGCAACGAACGCGCGCGTGATGTCGAAGCGACGTCCCATCGCTTTCTTTGTTACTTTGAAGCTAACACGGTAGGTATAAGCGAGCGCGCACTAGGTTCCCGTAGGTATAACTAACATATTGTCAATGTATTTAATTCAAGTAAAAAAAGTTTAAACGCCTTTGCGTGAGGTACCCGTAGGGTATAACCGTCAATTAGTAATAACGTAACTTCAGGTTAATCTTACCTAAATATTAAAATAATATTGTACAACGGCAGGTAATAATTTACTAACCGACAGAAAGTGGTGTCCATAAGATCAGTAGTCAAAGGTGAAGAAGGTGTGTTGTTTAAAACATAAAATAGGCATTTTTAACTAAACGCCGTCAAAAAACAATTTGAATTCAGTCAATTTGAGATAAGCGATTATAAAAAAAAATCTTTGTCGGGAAGAAGTGTACCATACGCATAAAACTATATTTACACGTGTAAGCAAAATAATCTAAGTAAAGAAATTATTGCACCAATAAAATGCACATAATTACCAAGGGCAAAACTTACTTGTAATAGCTACGACTACCGACATTTTTTAAAAATATGCCAAACTTTTTGTCTCTTAGAGACAAAAAAAAACTGAATATTCATAAAATCCGTCTTGCATAAGCGACATCAAAAGTCGACGTAGAAAGACGTGACAACGACCAATCGACGCAGAAAAATCAGACGGTTCGAACTGTATACTTAACTCAATATGACCAAAAATGTCGCTTAGTCAATATTTCCTTTCAAGCGTCGATCAAGAGATATCATTTAAAAAACACAAAATACTCTTTCAAAAATCCACTACAGCCGCAACCAAACATCAGCTTCATTGACAAAAGACATCGGCTTCATTGACAGAAGCGTCGGCGTCTATGAACGACGATGAAGTTATAGAAGATGTAACATTTAACAATATTGAATTTTAAATTTCACATTTTGTTTATGATTTATTTCTTGATTATAAATAATGAATGTAAATACATATAAACCTGGTTTTATTTCATTCTCTAGTACTACTAAGGTAACGCTCGGAAAAGTTTTAAGTAAGTAAAAACAATATTGCCATTTTTTTTAAATAACAAAATTTTACTAATTTAGATTTAATTTAGAATTTAGCGGGATACAGTTATTTATGTAGCATCTCATACGTATTCACTGGTTTTTTATTTAAATTAGGGTTTTTTGTTATCAGTGATGTAATTGTAATTTAGCGGATTTTGGTGTATTTTATTAAATCCAAATTTTTGAAATCTGGCGATATTTTACCTTTGACTTGGCGCCTTAAAAAAAGCCAAGGTGGCAAAACTGTGAATATTGCCCATATTGCAAAGTCCAAGATCTTTTAAATATCAAATTTATTTATGAACCTGGCCTTGACTGTACAGTGAAAATTTTATGTGCAAGTACAGGCATGTATGTACCAAGGCAGGTATGTCCAAGAGAGTAGTGAATAAAGAATACGCTTTGGAAGAACTAGGTCTTGGTTAAATATTTACAGCAGGTTAATGTATTCACTTTCTTTTAGGTTTTTATTAGAAATTACTACGTATTCAGTCTTTGTATCCATTTATCTAAAATTATTTTGAAGACACATTAAAAGTAATTTACATAATCTATGAAAAAAAATATGAATGACAAAACGATATTTTTTAAACATTGAATAAATATAGATTTATTGTAAGAGATTATTATTAAAAATATATTGTTCTCATAAAAATCTCTGCGAAGGCTGGTTGATGCGTTATGCTTGTGAACTAGCGCTATTATGCAATGCTATAAGGATATTTATGATTAATAATATAATTGAAATTTGCTTAAAAATAAAAGGGAATTTTTACGTCTTGCCAAATACTTATAAAAAGACACTGGGAGCACATTTCAAACCAAATTTTACCTTACAATATAGCACAATAAGGTGGCGTGTCACAGTTAATTTCCCTATTGTTAGGTGGCCTGATAAGGATAAAAAAGCTTTTCTTAAATTTACATAAGCTTTTGAAAAGGAAAATGTCCTTTTCATCGTCATCCGTAAAGCTCTGACAGGTGCCTGAATCCTTTTTAATTAAATATCGTATAAAATTGCTTGCCCGCACATTTAAAGTGACAAAGGCGGATTTAACAATTAGCCCTGTTTTTGGCGTGTCGGCCAGTGTCCTCGCCTCATTGTGTACTTGATTTATATGTTTTCTTTTATGTGAGAACGAGTTTCGCCTGATGGTACGTGATTTTGACTTTTAGATGAAAGTCCACTTGTAGAACAAACTGGTTTTAGCTGGTACCTAATGAATGCCCTGTTCTTTTGGAAGCCTGATGACTTGACAGCGAAGTATTTCCATTCGTGAGAAAACAAATTTTACAGTCATGCCAAGTCAGCCAATCAGGAACAGAATTGATCAGCCAATCAGGAACAGAACTGATTTTTAATGGTCGAGGCAAATAGTCCATCCACTATAGCCTTACTATATTTTAAGGCTATAGTGAATTGACTATTCCACTTAACAGAGTTACATACACTTGAATATCATCACTCATCGCTCTTTTCGGTCTAAAGCTGTATTGACGTGCATTAAAAAAAAGGAATTCTCTGGTGTCAGGTGGTTGTTAAGGACCTTTTTTAGGACTTTATACAATACTGTGGTGACTGTTGACTTTAAGAACTAGATTGCCATCGGGTCTATTAGCTTTCAGGACGTCGAGTGATTTCAATTCCGCACACTTGAACATCACACTTGAAATAACAGTGCTATTATTCTCCAAAAACAAATTCACTTTTCGCTTAGGGAATCCGCTGTGTGATTTAAACAAGAATTTCACATTTTTAAATCGCACCGGCGAGTAACGCGGTGAAAAGTGAGTTTGTTCTTACAGAAAACCAGTGAGGCTTGGAAGGTGTAGGGGAGTGCACCGCTGTATAAAGAAACTTCATCATTTGCTACAAAGCTGTTTTGTGAGGGCACGTCTATCATAATATAATAGAGTATGAATAGATCATGTAATGAAAATCTATAAGTTGTTTTCGAGAGTTATAACGAATCGCCTCGCTCGCAGGTTTGACGACTTCTAACCTCCCGAACAAACCGGTTTCCGAAAAGGCTTCAGTACCGTGGTGGTTCGTGCTAAGGGTACTGGTCGGGTCTAGGATGTTATCCAGAATTAAGAGAGACGGGTGTTTTTATTATTTAAAATAAAAAAAAGCCTATAATTTTCATCATCTCCTACAATAACATGCGAATTAGCCCATTCAGTTGACAGACTTTTGCTTTCAGCAATGACTTGTATTTAGTAGACTTACCTATTCTAAGCATTATTTATTTTACTTTCATTCCATAATAGCATAGAAGGTTAAGAGATGATACTAGCTAAAACTAATTTGTAACTACAGTTATGAAGGACGATATGTAAGTACCCACGTACATAATAGACGATATTCCTTGAAATTCCAAATTGCTTGGAGGTTACGATGTCATCCGGTCCCTTGTGTGATAAAACCAACAGTTGATTGAGGATTATGATTGATTTAACATTATTTACTTACTGTGATTCGAGTTTTTTTCATTATTAATTTGCATTTTCTGAGAACATTTACCATAGTAGTGTATATTTTTTTATACCATCAGAAAGTAGAGATTTCAACAAACAAAAAACACCCCAACTTTTTTAAAAAAGCAGATATTTTGACGTGAGAATTTTCGATTGAAAATAAGGGTGCTTTTTCGATATTAAGTCAAAATAAGGTGAAAAAATGAATATTTTAAATCAAAAAAATTGCTGTATGTTTTGGCATACGACATACAAAGGTAAGTTTTCACCAAATTTCGTGAAAAAAAAATTTTTTTGCAAAAAATAAAAATCAAAAACCAAAAACTCGGTTATTCGCATTTTTCACATACATTATGAGGTTATGTGAAAAAAGTGTCGATCTTTTTATTACCTACAACTTTGCGATTTAACTTTTTTTCATAGGACTTGCAGTTTTACCGGAAATCGAGATTAACCATTTTTTACCCTTTAAAACTCACCCCCTCCCCCTTCCCGACCTCAGATCGCCCGTAATTTATTTTTCCTTTCATTTTTGTTATATTCTCTACCTTTTGTAATGGGTTTCATCCTACTATAATTTTTTTTCACTTTTCACCATTTTTAAAATTATCGACCCTGGTCTATCAGGGCGAAAACTAGATTCAAATTATGACAATAAAGAGTTGCCCAGTATAAATTGCGAAAACTATTCCAGTGCCTACTGCTTCCAAGACTTGAAATGATGGGCACCATAGAAATACAGTACACACAGTACAGGCATAATGAGTTTGGGACATTAGTTTTTGGGAGAGGAATGATAAAGTCTTTTATCCACAAGGAAGGAAACGACCCATTTCCGAAGGAAAAAAATATAATGTGTGTAAGAACTGAAAGGAAGTAGTCCTGAATAGTTATAGTGTGACTCATGCCATCGCAGCCGACAGCGTTGTTTATCATGTACAGCTGACACTAAGGAGAAGTAGAAGGACAAGATTACGAGACTGGATTACAAGACTAGACGTTGGATTTCGTGAGATAGTCCAGAATAAAAATTGACAAGAAATGAGCGGGGCTGATAGACCGGGAGCGGTGAACGATGGACCGGGAGCGGGGACGATGGACCGGGAGTAGTGAGTGATGGATTTAGAGCGGTGAGTGGAGGAACGGGAGCAGAGGTGATAGACAAAGCGCGGCAAGTGATGGAGCGGTAGCGGTGAGTGATGGACAGAGAGCGGTGAGTAATGGACCGGGAGTGGTGGTTAGGGACTCTGCGTCGACATCGCTAGAATCGAAGCGAGCGTGTTGAGGGCCAACGATGCCGCTAAGTACTAGGTACAAGACGTACGCGCTCACGTTAGTGCGGGCAGAGCACACAACTACAGGTGATAATTGTAGTATCGCAAGCGACGAAGTTATGGCAGTCGCTAACCATCAAGCCCACTTCTACATCATCATCGAGAGGTCTTGGTCTCAGGTTTCGTCGAGATGGAACTCGTACTCATAAAAGATGGACGTGTTAGAAACGTCTATCGATGTAGAGGTCGCTCCACACAAACAACCAACACGATGGAATACGGAGATTGAGCCATGACTCGCCACGCGGGCCCAGTGCGGATTAGTGGTATTATATAAATAATTTGAACTTCGTTCCAACCGAGTATTCTACGACACTCAAGCATATATTTTCTTTAAAATTGATTTGATTAAAATGCCTACTAATATAATGTTATAATATTTATTATCAAAAACAATGCAATGTCACATTTCAACAGATGATATACACAATAAGTTCATACCCATAATGTTCTACAACTACAAATTGAAATGCACTTAAATCTAACAATACAAAAAAATATCTACACACTTGGGCGTTTACATTTTACTCAATATCAACATCAGTTTTATAGCAATACAGTGCAATTATTAATAAAATAACAAAGGTAACAAAAAATAAGAAAAGTTTTATTTTATAATTATAATTCTTACATTGTGCTTACAACACAAGAAAAAAGTTTGTATTTTTAGTATTAATCGGCAAACTACAGGTCAATATAATAAAAAAAACATACTTTCAACATAAAAAAATCATTATTAATAGTAGAAACTCGATGCATCTTTAATTATGTCACACATTAATATAACTTGTAAACAATACGAACATCAAGTATAAATTTAATATGGTCGTAGTTTCCTATTTAACGCACCTGGTCTCTGCCTAAAGCAGTGTTTCTTAAACTTTTTGCAAGAAAGCACCACTTTCAGTATTTAATAGTTCAACAGACATCTATAAAAAAAGTTTTAGTAAATGAAAAGAAACCTTATATTAAAAACTGACTTTTATTGGCAGTTTAATTAGACTCAGTTATACTGACTTTATTATACGTCATGGGTTAATTGAGCTACTGTAGACCCTTGATTCACATGCTGTGGACTCCTAAGGAGCCCGTGGACCTTTAAGAAACCCTGACCTAAAGTAACGAATAATCTCTACAAAAATTTCATTAAATGCGAGAACGGATCCGAGGCATAACTGCGCTGGTGGAGTTGATCGAGTGCCAATAAGAATGATAAACTATAACTACAAATAAACGAAAATTGTGTATTAGAAGTATGCTGTATGACACGGTCTATATTAAGCTGAAATAGAGCAGAAACATTACGGATTCACTTAACAGGAATAGACTAGGTGAACAACTGAATTAATTGAAAATAAGTAATGGTTCAAATGAAAACACGATTTTAATAAAAAATATTCAATAATCAATTGCTATTACGAGTCTTTACACTTTAATGCTATGAATATTAAAAGGAAATACAAAAGTGTCCAATTCGCGGATAAATTAATACAATTACGTCTTCACGGTAAAAAGCGGAACTTGAATAATAGACTCATCACATTGTTAAATTAGAAACTGTCTCTGACATAGAGTTTTGCGGGTAACGTAATCTCCCCAATCTGCTATGGCGGTGAACCCATTGTAAAAAGATTTTTGGCTTTTGGTATTGAGTTGATAGCATAAGTTTTTCACTAACGAAGCTCTCTCAGAACGTGTTCGAGTGGGGAGCAGGCCCGCTTAAATGATCAGCAAGCTTGGACAGACTAAAAAGCTTACGTAATTTATGTGTGCTGCTCTGGGCCGCACGCCCTCATTTGCCAAATGGATACTTAGTTCGCTATGTTGATTAAGTTATGACTAGATAATTATTTTGGTAATTACAAGCTAAAAATCGACAGTAAGTTCTTTAGTGCGTAAAATAAATAAATATAAATATCCTAGTAAATGAGATATTACGTTATTGAAAAGTCAAATTCTGCTGTCAATAAAAATTTTTTAACGTATAAAATCGAATTGGTAACAAAGAAGTTGTGAGCTGAGATTTATTATTTCGATGTATTTTAGTATTGATGACGCATGTACAGTTCACGTGTATCTGCACCACTCAATAAAGTTCAATAAGTTTTCTTTTATCTCTATCTTTGCGTACCTATATTTGATAATATCTACCTACATGTCTAATAAAAGTATTTTTAAAGATAGTATTAAAACTTTCCGAGCCAATTAATATATTTAGGTAGATTTCAAATATACCTAATGTATAATATATATATATATATATATATATATATGTATACTGTACTCTCTAAAACATGAGGTAATCTAAATGTGGTAGTTACGGTAGAAACGTAGAAAGCTATTTTAAAGTAGTTTCACACTTTAATTCTTACTAAAACAGTGATAGTGTTTTTAAGTATTTGGTGTACATGGTTTGTAGATTGCTATGTGGGCGGTAGGTAACTCGGTTTGGGTTGTCTAGTCGCTGTAAAGCCCTTCGTACAAGGAGCGGGGCAGGTGCTCGGCGAGTAGAGACTTGAGCTTTTCGCGCGGGGAGACGGGCGTGTAGCGGGTCAGCGGGAAGGTGCGCGTCACGCCGTCGCTCAGCGACCGTGTCACCGCCGTGAGGTCCGCATCCTGAGAAAGACCATTAAATCCATCAATATACACTCCCGGACACATCTATCGGTCCAATTAGTGTTATAAGTTTTAACGGTTTGTAGAAAAAATATAAGTAAGGTTGTTCGATAATAATATATTTAGAAACAAAAAAAAAACACGAAAAAGATGGTTAATAAAGCAGCTCCAAAGCTGCGTGAAAACTTTTACTCAATTAGATATCTTTATTTTTAGCTAGGGACGTTCACAATTTTAAATGCTTGGTGGATAGATGTGGCCAGAAGTAAATCCATCAATATACACTCCCGGACACATCTATCGGTCCAATTAGTGTTATAAGTTTTAACGGTTTGTAGAAAAAATATAAGTAAGGTTGTTCGATAATAATATATTCAGAAACAAAAAAAAAAACACGAAAAAGATGGTTAATAAAGCAGCTCCAAAGCTGCGTGAAAACTTTTACTCAATTAGATATCTTTATTTTTAGCTAGGGACGTTCACAATTTTAAATGCTTGGTGGATAGATGTGGCCAGAAGTATATAATTATTGATTTAAGGTTCCATGCGGTCACTAACATTAATTCGCGGGATTGCTACCTAAGAACCTTATTTTTTTTGAGGCGAAGATATTTCAGCACTGTCGCAAGTGCCAGGTATCACGGAGTTATTCGTGTAGCGATTTTGCTAGTTACTAAAGACAGTTAAACAGAATACAGGAAGTGTTCAGTGCTGTAGGCCATCAATTTTTGATTGTACTCTGTTAGGAGTAATAATGCACTTGCGATTACTACTTCCACTCGACTACCTATAGACAACTTATGACAAGCCGACGGACGGCGTAGTGAACGACTGGTGGACAACCATCCACTAATTCTATTTGACGACCTCCTTGGCCGAGTGGTTTGTACGCCGGGTTTCATGATGTCACCGACTCGGGAGGTCCCGGGTTCGACTCCCGGTGGGTGCAGATGTTTGTGTGAGGAATACAAGCATTAGCTATATAAATATACTAATATATGTACAGTATATGTATTCTATCCGTTACCCTAGCATCCCATAGTACAAGCCTTACAGTGCTTACTTAGGGGCTAGACTAATTGGTGTGAGTGTTGGAAATATTTATTTATTATTTATTTAATTCTCAATCAAGCTAGATATGAGTGAAAAGCGAGCTACACATAAGCGGGAGTACGGTGAAATGTAAGCAAGTTAACGGATGATAGGCGTAAGCGAGTGGACATCGAGTTGACGACTAATCGCTTGTGGTTTGTGAGCGGATCCCGGGCGATACGATCCCGCACGGTGCTGTGTGTACTTATACTATTACCCCCTTATTAATAAACGAAGAATAAGCTTCGATTAGTTATTCCATGTTTTGTCTCTGTTCAATGTCAATCTAAAAAAATCTGTCAAATGTCAATTATAAATTGCATTTGCGTGATATGAACAAAACACAGCGTAACTAGTATTCAGCTTACTCCTGGTTTCTTAATAAGTGGGTTAAAATCGTGAATGTCATCATCGTTTTTAATGGCGTACACAGGTCGCGACAACGTTTTTAATTTTTTGTGCACCCAATAAGTAATCTATGTAACAAAAACTACCGCTATTGTAATTTGTAAGTGAATCCGAAAAAAAATGTCAGCCATCTCTGCATTAGTGCCGCAAGCATGGGTCAACACATTACTTCCTTTAGCAATTTGGTGTACCTATTCTATGTTTTTCTTTCTCCGTAAAAGGGAAGGTTTACTTTGTCTTGCAGTATTTAAGAACGCTAGCCCATTTTCCACCGCCAAAGAGAAATGAACTAGGGATGTCTAGCGGAGCGGTTGTCGTGTACATAAAATAGGATTACTTTTCCACAGAAGAAGAGTTCGGGAGTATTGATTTCAACCGCCAAAGAGAAAAAGAGCTGAGCAAGATGAATTGAAAATGAGAAATGAAAAAATAATTTTGATTTCCACAGCGTGCGAGCTCACTTGAAGTTAGCAGTCATTTTCAAACATTTTTGTAGTGAAAACTTCTTTAGCAGCGTTGTACACTTTTTTTTGTATGGGTAAAAAATGTTAAACACGCGTCAGGTTAAACACGTGGGCTGAACGCATCATGACGCACAATAAAATTGGAAAGGTTGTTGACTTTCAATATATTGGACGAAACATAGTAATATTTCAGTTTATCGTATTATAATAATAAGTCTCTATCTGCCACGTGTCCTAACGTGGCAGCTTAACTGCGAAGAAAATGCATTTTTTTACAAAAGATGTCGCTAGGTGCGCTTAAATGTGATTCATGTAAGTTGATTTCTTTACAATAGATTTCGCTAAGTTCGCTTAAATGTAAGTTGATTTTTCTGAGAGATAAACTTTTTTAATGTAATATAAATTGTCATGTTTGTGTACGATAGCGCAATAAATAAATATTGTATTCTACCACATACATTATAGTGCTTTTATACTGATAATTAAAGCAATTCGTGCTAAATTATTCCCTAACCATTCTAAAATATCAAAAATGCACAACGTTATTCAAGTTTTCACTTCTGCCGGCACTCCCGGAGTGCAACCCGTCGTTTTTTTTTATTCTATTATCGTTTTCGCTCACCTTTTTTTCGGTGGTAACACAACTATTTAAAATTGGATTGCAAGTTGAAAGGACTCATAAGTTCGCTTCGTTTTCTAGAAATGAGCGAGCTCATTTTTACTCTTTTTGTCCTCTTTGTTATTTTCGCTCGACTCTTGGTTAGTGGAAACAGATGTATGCATTTTTTTATTGCGAGGTAAACGGAGTTAGTTGTTAATGGGCTCGCTCCGTTGGCGGTGGAAAACTCCCTATAAAATCGTCCGTGTGGTAAACAAGAATAAACAAAAGATATCGGAAATCAGTACTTAAAGATTAGCAGATTATTATCTTAAAAGGATAACACATTGGCGACAGTAGCAGAAATTGAAAGATAAATCAATAATTGATTGATCCAAAATTTTTTTTAATTACAGGTTGATTTCGGAGTTAGTGAATTTAAAGTGCTTAGGTAATTCATGAATCTATTTTGTTTATTCATATACCTACCTCTATTTGGGTATTTTAATCAACAAAGTCAAACAAAGTAGATCCGATTATTCTAAACATAAAAAAATATTGTTTAACTGCTTCAAAGTGAAATCGAAATAATGTAGGTAACACTCAGTTAGCCATTCAGCGGTGAAATACGGATTACTGAATCGGATAAAACGCAAAGGGAAGAGGTGTTTGTTTACAGTACGAGTAGAAGCGAACACCGACAGTATTTATTATTTGCGCTAAAGATCTACATGTTTTATTTCCGAAAGAATAAACTTCCATCAAAGTAGTAGCCACATGATGTGCAGGCTGTAATTAAGGTCTAATAAGCTGAAACACGTTTTTCTTGCCCTAATTAGGTTTTGGAACAGAAAGTACAAGCTTTATTAATTAACTAATTTAATAGCATGAATAGGGTGTCTGTTAAATTAATAAATCCAAGGAAATTAAGCAACGTCACGTTTGTAATACTTACAGCGCTTTTGGTGTATTTCTCGAGACTGCGGAGTGCTTTTTCGAAGTAGTCTTCACCGTAGGCGCCCTTTTGTTCGTCGCTGAGCCTCTTCCACATGTCGCGCGCTTGTTCTAGAAGTTTCTCCTCGGAAAGCCAGGCGCTGCCGGTTGTGTATTCGCCAGCTGCCACTACCACCTGGCAATTTAATATTACTAAGTAATTCATTTGACCCATAAAACTGTAATTCACAATTACCTTTTTTGTTGTTTTGTAAGGCACTCTGCCGAGTCGTCAATCGTTCTACGAAAATTGTTAAGACTTCAATCCGTAGTACCTACTATCTGTAGTTTAATCCGCCTAAAGAATTCTTTCGAATAACAAAATATAAAAAGTAAAAATGCATATTTATGATGGTAGAGTATTTTTAATGAATAGTTACTTTAAATGGGATTTTACATGAAAATGTTTTTGGTAGAAGTTATTTTCGAATATTATTTAATAAATTATATTATATGGTTAAATTTTGCAAACATCAATATTTTATATAGGTAATTTATATTGTGTGCCTAATTAATAATTATGTTAGTTGTACGAGTAGTTATAGTTTTGTGACACAATTAGTAATGCTATGCATTAATAAACTGACTAGAATTGTGGTGACATTAATAAGTGGTATAAAGTTGTGTGAGACGAGTGGTTCATTAAAGCAGAGTAATCACTAATGCGGCCCTAGGGGATAAACCGCACATCAAGATGTCGCATTGTGGCTGGAATGACGAGTCCGACCAAACACTCTCTTGTTTAGCTACATATAGAGATTTCTGTTACATGAAGTAGATTACTCAATTTATATTTTGTTTTAAATAAATTAACTAATTGTAAATGAAAGACGAGTTTTACACCTATACAATATTATGTATATATATTACGTTTATACACTTTTAGATTCTGATATAATGAGTAAAACTTTAGTATAAATTAGTTATTTTGCATTTAAACACTTGCTGTATTGGTTAGAGAACGCGCAGTTAATTCTCTATATTTGTATAGATAGTAGTAACTAAATCGACCCCTCTGGGCTTTAGTTCACGGCGCAAGCATAAAGTCATGGCATCAAGTGCAGTCATCGAGGCTACGTGCACGCCCCGCTCGGTTAGGGAAACCGAGGCCCATGCCATATATATGGGTAGTACTCACCACATCAACCCCTCTGGGCTTTAGTTCGCTGCGCAAACATGATGCCATGGTGTCAAGGGCGGACAGGGAGTCCGCGTGTACGCCCCGCACCCGAGCTGCCACGCGCGTCAACAGTGACCAGTTGGTTAAGGAAGCCGCGGTCCATTTCATGTGTATGGGTAGTACTCACCACATCAACCTCTCTGGGCTTTAGTTCGCTGCGCAAACATGATGCCATGGTGTCAAGGGCGGCCAGCGAGTCTGCGTCCACGCCCTGCACTGGAGTGGTCACGTGCATCAACAGTGACCAGTTGGTTAGTGAACGCGCGATCCATTCTGTGTGTATGGTTATTACTTACCACATCGACCTCTCTGGGCTTCAGTTCACGGTGCAAGCATGACACCAATGGCGGGCAGTGAGTCCGCGTGCACGCCCTGCACCGGAGTGGTCACGTGCGTCAACACTGACCAGCTGCTTAGAGAACGCGCGGTCCATTCTTTGTGTTTGGTTAGTACTCACCACATCAAACCCTCGGGGTTTCAGTTCGCGGCGTAAGCATGATGACACGGTGTCAAAGGCGGCCAACGAGTCTGCGTACACGCCAAGCACTGGAGTGGCGACGTGCGTCAACACCGACCAGTTGTATAAAGAACGCGCGGTCCATTCTAAGTGTATGGTTAGTACTCACCACATCAACACCTCTGGGCTTCAGTTCGCGGCGTAAGCATGACGCCATGGCGTCAAGGGCGGCCAGCGAGGCTGCGTGCACGCCACGCACCGGAGCGGCCACGTGCGTCAGAATTGATGACGTCAGTACGATGCGTCCGCGCGCGCGCCTCACTAGCGGTAGCATCACTTGCACTAAACGTGCTGGTCCTGATACCATACAAATATATACATTTTCCATATTATTTAGATACTATACAGGAAAAAGAGGGATGGAAGGTATTTGCTTAACGGTGTGATATGATGTATCTAGGATTACATCATATTCTCCATTCTCCGTAAATAAACAAATGTTAGCCCAATAGTTTTCGAAGGTACCCTGTCCGCAACTGGCAAGGTGATTTTGGTACTATAGAAGACAGCAGCGAAATAATTTGATTGTACTGTATTTCTGTCGGTTAGAAAGGTTCATGCCTCCATGATGTAGTTAGGGTAAGTTAACGCAAAAGATGCACTTTAGTTACAAATTAACTTCAATAATTATAGTGTTTTCGTTGGTTACCGTTTATCATCAAACGGAACAAATGCCAGAATGCCAGTGACCACCGACATTTTTAAAGGAGGTAGGTTTTATTAAAAAAATCTAAAGAAAATTTTATTGGAAATTGGATAGCAAAGGATGGGGAGTTTGATCCAACTTGATTTATTTAACGAAATTATTTCTATAATATATTTACTATTAAATGCATTCGACGAGCGCGATGGCGCAGATGGTTAGGGCATACCTGCGATCGTGAAAGTAAAGCAACTTTTGCAATGCTCGATCATTGGATTGGTGATCATAAACTTATTATTTCGACCCCCTACGTGATTCAGAAGGCACGTTAAGCCATTGATACCCGCTGCATCTGCAGTCGTTAGCACCCTCCAATCCGCACTGGGCGCGCGTGGTGTGTCACGGCCCAATCTCCCTATTCCATCCATGGGGAAGGCTTTTGCCTCTGCAGTGGGGACATCAATAAACTGATAATGATGATGGTTTTGATGACATTACATACTGGCACTAAATTCTTGGTCCGGTACCAGTTCTCGTTGCAATGAACTTTGTTGGTATTCAGGGCTTTTCAAATGATAAAGGTCATTAATCACTGTTATAATACAAATTTTCGTTGGTGTCCTAAATCACAAACTTTTGAGCTGCATTGGAATTTCCTTGAATTTACATTGGAGATCTAAAACTTTGGTATAATTTAAATCCTTTAATGTTAGATTGATAACAAAGATCTATGTAAATACATGCATATATATAAATATGATAATATTAAAAAAAATCGTCGCCTATTTATAATTTTCTTTGTATTAAAAATGCTAAGCTTTTGGTTTCTTCGTGCTAAATTGATATAACTATGCCTAATTACTCAGGAAATTTAAACTTAAAACTAAGAAGAATAACTTATGAAACTTAAACTTTTCTATTAAAGTTTTTTATTTATTCAAAAAATGTACATGTTATAATAATTAACGCGAACAAAAAATTAGCGAACGTTTGAATTTCTTGTGTTAGGCTATTACCGTTGCTCTAATTATATTGTAATACTAGCGATCCACCCCGGCTTTGCACGAGTGAACTTTATTTAAACGCAATAAAACATAGCCTTTGTTACTTTGGGTTAATGTAGCATTCTTATGATGAAAGAATTTTTGAAATTAGTCCAGTAGTTTTTGATTATATTCGTTACAAAATAATATACACATCTTTCCTCTTTATAACATTAGTAAAGATAAACCAGTTTTACTATATCTGCTGTTCTAGATATGATATTGTCGCATCGTAGTTAGCATTACATTTTTAATATATTTTCATAGTTTACTTACAGGTTCATAAATAAAAATTAAGACACCAAGTAAAAAACATATTATACCCATTTGCGTTATAGCAACCACGCTAGCATAAGTTTTAATAAATCGTGAAACGCAGAGAACTTCCTAACTTTGGGTTAAATAACAAGGTTGCTTGTTGTGTTTTGAAATTAACTTCAATTATTTTAGTGTATAGTATTTCTATTTAGATCAGTTGCAAAGCAATTTAATTATCCTAAATATTAATTAATGATTAGAAACCAGTAATCTAGTGTAAATCATATTTTATTTTAAAAATATTTTAAGCCGAGTGGCGCCATCTGTACAATTCCACGTGAATCACTGGCGTCAGTAGCGCGTCGTAGAGTACAACTTTGTTACAGCTCGTAGCAAAAGCATGCTATGATTTTGTAGCAACGTAGCGTAAGCTTACCCAAAAGGTTGACATCCGTGGCTCGCTTAAATACGGAGAAAGGCACCCATTCTAATTCGCCGAGTGCACACCACGATTCACAGTTGACGATAGCCCATAGTCCTTGCGCGCCCTCTGGCAAGTGGTCCACGATATAAAGCGATGCTGCCAGAATCTAAAGAGCAAAGCAAGATAAAAGATAATTCTGGAACAAACCGTTGGATGATACTTACTGTAAGAGTAGAAAATGTTTGAGTTACGGCTCTGATATAAACTGGTAAATTGAGTCGGGATTTTTTATGTGAGGGTATAATAGAGAAGTCAATGGTCGGACTGATAAAGTAATATTTAAATGAATTAACTGTTGCGGCGACATCTACACGACATATAAGTAACTGTGAGGCGTAAAGATGTCGCCGCAACATAATTATAGTACAATATTTCCCTTAAATATTAAAAATCAACGCGAGTGTCATGACTCACTCGGTTGGAACGAAGTTAAAAATAAACATAAATATAAGTAGACAACTACCCATAATAGTCTACGAAACAACTGGCGGCTGTGAAGGAAAAATCTTACACCTTTTTTACACTCATCCGCCAAGTCCGTACCGTTCGAAAAGGAATTTGAAAAGGAACTTCGTTCCAACAAAAACAGGTGAAAGAAATAAAGCCCCTCTTATACCGTTATGCATCGTTAGCCATCACACATGATTGATTTCAAGAAAATCAGCTTTTGTTGAATGAATTAAAATTTGCATTTATTTCAGAAATCCGCACTAATAAATCCCTACCGGTGGTGATTATATAGCTTTTTCTTTAGAAATCCCCAATGGCTATGCAAACAAAGCTTAGTAGGGTTATTGAAAAAAAATGTATTGCAGTTAAATGCTTAAAATAATAATTTAAACTATATATTTTTGGTCGCAATCAATTAGAGACAAGCATATAGCCAAGTCGGTGTGTTGCTCTATGGACACAAGTTCATAGAGAAAGTAACCTTTTAGTTTAACACAAGGCAAAAATATCTACACACATTTATCAACAGCTCGACGTTTTTTAAAAAATTGTTGATCAAAATGACATTCCACCATAAAATAAAAAAATAAAAAAAATACAGTTCCTATTCGTTCAATAAAATGTAACAAAACACAAAGAAACGGAGCAAATAATTTCTCTACAAATATTGAATACCGTAGACATGTAGGCGGCTGGGGCCTTGTGATTTTATATTTTCTCTTTCGTTGGCGGCCTGAATTAATTTAGCGTCATGTAAACCCTCAAGGTGATGTTTGCTGGGAGCGATACAAGCACGAAATTAATCTACAACAAATGCTTGAGATAAAATGGAACTATAAATTTTAATAAGGCTTAAATATTTTAGTAAAAGGAGAGGATTACTATTGTAATATTAGTTTCAAATATTACATTATTGGAAAAAGGTATTTATTAATTAAAACGTTAAATAAAACTGTACTGATTTTACCGCTATAAAGGATAATTAAAACATTAATATAATATACCTGGAAGGGATATTTATGTAAGTAACCCTCTCCGGGACTTTTTTATTTTTCTAACTATACAGACTCATAAAAAAACTCGTCTATATAAACTTTGAACTTTGCACTTTGAACAAAACAAATCATCAGTATATATCAGGGTTTTTTGAATTCACAGCCAAAGTAATAACAGTTACTCACTTGTGTTTCAGAAGTGACGTCGAGCTGCAACGTGTGCAGCCTTCCCGAGCAATCTTCCTTCAACATGTCGGCATCAATGTTGCCAGCCTTAGTTTGGAAGCCGGCGAACACATGGTAACCCATATCGTCAAGCCGCCGTGCCAGGGCATTCCCCAGCACATTGTCGCACCCCGTCACCAGCACAGCTTTCCCCGCCGCTGTCACCTGTCATATGCATACTTTATTCCACTATGTGTACGCACAATAAATAATAAATAAATATTTCCAACACTCACTCCAATTAGCCTACCCCGTAAGTAAACACTGAAAGGCTTGTGTTATCGGATGCTAGGATAACGGATAGAATACAATATATACTGTACATATATAAGTATATTTATATAGAAATATATATTAAACATCCATGACTGGAGTATAAATGCTCGTATTCATCACACAAATATCTGCCTCCACCGACCGGGATTCGAACCCGCGACCTCTTGAGTCGGCGACACCATGACACCACCAGCGTACAAACTACTCGGCCACGGAGGTCGTCTTCAATATTTCTCAATTTATTTGAGGGAGGCTTGAAGCTTTTGTTTTAAAAGCAACGAACACATTCTAGAAGATTTTGCATCTATCGATAAAGTTTCGTGAAATAAGTAACATTTCCATTCGAAATTCGAGCATTCGTCTTGATGTAATCTACCTTGGAAAAGACGCTCCACGAGTTGGGAGACAGAGAAAATAATGAATATTCTATATTTCTTGTTACATAAGTCGAGAAGAGTCGAGTAACCTAATTCATTCTAGGAACCCAGCATGGCATTATTATCAGGTAGCAATCTTTAAAGAAGATTTCAGGAGCAAAATCGAATTACTTTACTTCAGTAAATAATCGGCTTTCATTAATCATTCAATCGACAATCAGTTATGAAGGATGGTTCTGTTCAAGGACAGTAACTGTTCTGTAATTTCCCTAATTTCGGAGGAACGTTTTATAAAATTGAAGCACGTGGCTGATCTAAGGCAAAGAACTTCTGGACGGAGTTCAACAGTAAACTGCTTTATCTGTAGGTGTTTATTTTCGAGTAAATTATCATAAGTTTTTCAATATTCCTACTTAATAACATGCTTTTCTTATATTATCGGAAAACGGTTTGTTAACAAAAGTATTTGAAAAAAGGTATAATCCATTCCTAAAGGTCTTATTTAGGGTTCTATACCAAAAGACTAAGACTCCGCTGTCCTTCTGTCTGTCTATCACCGGGCTGTATCTCATGAACCGTGATAGTTAGACAGTTGAAATTTACAGATGATGTATCTTGGTTGCCACTATACCAAAAATACTAAAAATAGAATAAAATAATTATTTAAGCGGAGTTCACATACAACAAACGTGTTTTTGCCGTTTTTTGCTCTATAATGAAAACGGCAACAGGTTCAGACTTGAAATATTCACAGAATATTAAGTTGTAAATACATTTTAAAATAAAAAATAAATATAAATAAAATAAATATTGAAGGAGGCTCCCATACAACAGACGTGTTTTTTTCCGTTTATAGTACGGAACCCTTCGTGCGTGGGTCCGACTCGTACTTGGCCGATTTTTTTATACGAGGCGCAACAAATTACACCTGATGTTAAGTGTATATTTAGGTATTTAATCCAGTATTTAATTTAAAATTAAAGTGATCAAATTATTGTAATAGTTTGGTCTATGAAATTTCTTGGCTCGCGTATCTCTGCAAAACATTGTCTATTTTAAGTAAGCAAAATTTTAAGACTCGGTTTCTATCAGAAACTGTTATAGTTGATCAACTTTAAAAATATATTCTATACTGTTAAGTATGACATTAGTCATACCGATTTTGGACCAAAGTACTTTCCGGAGTTATTATTTTCACATCAAAAAGTAAATTTTGTAGAAGTAGAAGAATTATGAATAGCACTTTGAAGTGAAACTAATGATGTTGTATGACTTATCATCTATATCGGTCAACAGGTAGGTGTGTATGAATATAGTACGTCTAGATATGTTAAGATAGTAATTTTATTTATTGATTTTTTTTAAAAATCAACAACGGTTTTCACCAGCACCACCAGCTTGAACATTTATATAATTTGCCGGTTTTTCTTTTTTGCTATATACAAGCGATAAATAGGTACCATTTTTTTATGAATCGCAACAGATCTAACTTGCTTCATAATGTTGAATTTTACATGTAGAAAAAGTTATGTTTTTTTTTGTATTGTTATGATGATACATATTTACTGTATAAAATGAAAGACACGCTAAGCCCCTTCAAGTTCGAGTGCTCTAGAGGCTTCAGATGGAGAGGAGACTCCCTCCGAGGGAAGATATCTAAGAATTCTTGGCTTGAGGTTCCTTTAGGAGCTCGCCGTCCTCTAGCCCGTTGCCGCTGTGAAGGTCATCTACTACTAGCAGCATACACACTCAAAAAAAAGAAACAAATGTATAGACAGTTGTAGGCACAGTTACCGAGCTACCGTGAAAAGACACAGTCAAATTTCTCAAACTGGATGTAATTTGTATATGACTAAATAAATAAATGACTCAATTGGTTTTAAGCTTAGTAGCACCAAAGTTTATTAATGAAATTAATTAAAAACAAAATTATGGTTAAACTTGCATTTAAGCAATTGAAAAAGACTGAAAATTTGTTTATATTTGCTGATTGGGGGTCATCCATAAATTACGTCACACGAATTTCATGTCTTTTTTGCCCCTCCCCCCGTCCTTGTCACAGCTGGTCACATTTGTAAGACTCCCCCCCTCCCTAGTGTGACGTCACATATTTTGCAAATGTACATTTAGAAATCATTGAATGAAAACAGCGGTTCTGTAATCAGTTTTATTTCCATTTAAATTGTTTTTTCATTATTATTATAATCAAATCAAACAATTAACAAAACAAAAAAATTACCGAACAAAAAGTGATTGACTATGTTAATTAAAGAAATTAACAAAACATAAAATATTAATAGCATTATAATTAAATTAAAGATAAAACTAGTTTTTACGGGTTAATGCACGAAACTTTATTTATTTATTGACGTTTCGCAGCCTTTTCAGGTCTGCATCGTCAGAATAATGATTTTTTTATTTAAAATTGGCGAGCTACCTTCGAAAGACCTATATTGAGCGTTCGATTATTTCATTGGAAGATTTTTAAAATTTAATTGTCTATGTATGAATTTATTATTTAATTTACTTAATAAAGTATTTTATTTAAAATTCTTGTTTGTAATTTTGAGTTTATTTATTTGACCCTAACTATTCTGACGATGCAGACCTGAAAAGGCTGCGAAACGTCAATAAATAAATAAAGTTTCGTGCATTAACCCGTAAAAACTAGTTTTATTTAATGAGTGATGTGCGTAAAAACCTAAGAAACAAATTAAAGATACTTACAAACTTAATAATCTTGAGTCCATGGACATTGATCCCACTCCTTTAAATTATTTATAACTGGCATAGCACCACTTTGTTCTCGTTTGGGTTGTTAATGCTTTCGTAAAGTAATAGTTTCAACACTTAGATTTTAATATATTTTGAAATGTGACGTCACGAAATTTAGGACTCCTCCCACCCCTTGTCACACGATGTCACATTTCGTCGACCCCCTCCCTACCCCTTAAAGTGTGACGTAATTTATGGATGGCCCCTTGGTATTAATTTATTTACATAGAAATATTTAAAATTACAAAAGCTTAAAACTACTTAATATATAAAAACTTAAAACCAGAAATAACTAAGTACTTAAATAATATACAATTAACAAAAAAAAAACATATTAACTCCAGCGCCGCTGTCAGGAATGGTGCCCAATAGGCCGGCAGCATTTCTACATTGGGTAGCAAGGCTAATCCGTTGACTAAGGTAGCTGCCAGCCTTTTGATCACCGGTCACCTCGGTGAGTCTCCTAGAAAATTCCTTAAGGAAGGAACGTGTGCTTGGACCCCATAGTCTAAGTTAAATGGCAAGTGACAGAGCGCTCCTGTCAAGCAAAGTCCCAATATTGGCTGAGGGAATAGCTAGCAGCCAGTAACCAGACTCTACCTGAAAGACCGCTAGGAGGCGAGCACGCTCAGCCGCGTTTTCAGAGAAAGTTAAAAGATCACTCTGAAGACGCAAACAGAGTGGCTCGTCCCATTACCTCTGTGGAAATAAGGAGGATGGTGGATCTACTCCCGAGCATGCACCAAGCATTCCTGGCCTCTGTAAGGTGAACTAGCTCCACTACGCCTAAAGAAGGACATAGTATTTTATTACAGACAGAAAAGCTCATATATATTTGCTCATTTATTAATTAATTATACTTAGTGGGAAATTATGTATTTTTTTATTACAGAGGATTCTATGTTTTTACATATTTATGCCTGTGGCTATCTTTATTGTGTACGTGGATACATTATAATACAATACAATTCACGCTTACATTCTCCAATCTTAGATAATTAATCTAATAGTAATTAATTCTACATCTGCGAATGAATGTTTCGCGTATATTATTATGTAATGTGCTACGACAAAATTAAGTTTTCGTCGAAAATAGACGGCGACAGGTTGATTGATGTCCATTATAATAACTGCTGAGTGAATATTTTATCCGGGCGTTTGTTGGTTACCTACCTATGCGTGACGCAGTGACTTTCGAGGTTAACTATTTCAGGGTTGCTTGATCGTTAATTCTTAATCTCCTAGTCCTCTCACTGTTTAAAGTCACGCACCAATCAATAACCATCTTTGCATGGTTGGCAAATCTGGCGTATTAAGATTAATGCGCTTACATTATTTTGAAATTGAATTAAATTTTCACTGGCATAGTAATATGTGAAACGTAAAATACTTTAAAATCGAAGAACCCTAGCAAAATTTAAAACAACAAATATTCCTTTTTATTGCAGGAGAATATGTAAAAATATTTTGGGTCAGATTTGATTCACTAATTAAAGTTTGATAAGCTTTAAGTTACCCTTTCATTAGACCAGTGGTTCTCAAACTTTTTAAATGACGGAACCCTTTTGGGAAGCAAAATACTTGATGGAACCCTACAATAAAACAATTATTTTTATAAGTGTATTCTATATTAATCAGCATAATAAAAGTACAATGTATCCGTTACTAATTATTATTTACTTCACCACTTGGTAAGGACAATAATAGAAAACATTAAAAAAGAAAAAATCTAACTAG